AGGCAGAGAGAAGAGTGGTCCTTACTTTCCTCCTAGGCAGAGCTCTGCAGCATGCTTTAAACTTGACCGTTTAAGAGGGGGAAAAATAGGTTATCCAAGGGTTGGGTTTTTTTTTTTGTTTGGTTGGTTGGTTTTTTTTTCCCCAGACTTATCTGATGGTTTTGCTTGCTTTGCCTCTTCCAGACTTCCTTGTCCTAAGAAAACATCTGCCTTTGGCCTTCTAAGGGGAACGTTTATGTAATGCTTGAAAAAATAACAAGAAAGTGAGAGCTGTATTTTTAAATCCTCATCCAAAGAGACATGTTATCGCAGCTTCTCCATCCCCGCTGCATGCAGAGCTGTGGCATCAAGCCAGCACCACTCCTCCTCCGTTTTGTCCCCAAATCTGCCTGGAGAAGCAAGGTTACTTTGGTTTTCCATTGTTCTGGCTTTCCTGCAGAGGTGCTCCCAGAGCAGTTACAGTAGTTTTCCATCAAAGGATGGAAAGGGCCTTCCTGTCCTGCAGGCCATGTGACAGCTCATACAAGCTGCAGCAGCCTTGCTCCAGCTGGGGAGGGTTGATTTCTTCTACTGTCCTCACTGTCCTGGGGGAAATAGAGCTCTTCTGTGCTGGGAGAAAGCTGTCACTTTTGTGCAAAGCTTGCATCCAAGCTTTCCAGTGGTATTTAGGTAGCTAAACCAGCTTGCACTGAACCTAATAGAGCTGGGCATGTAGAGATTTCTGATTCTGATGCTGCAAAGGATGAGAAGTCATCTGTGGAAGAGAAGTGCAGTCCCTCTTGTTTGCTTTCCAGTAGCAATTGCATGGTACGAGATTTCATTGTAGGGAAACAGCCATCAAAGCATGCTACCTGAGGCCCAGGGTACAGTAAACAACTCTGCTGGCCTTCTCCAGATGCCTGTTGTAACAATTCAGGTAAAGCAGTCTCCCCTCCCATTTCTTTGGAGAGATCACTGGAGGCTCCACAGGCAGCATCACCGAAAAAATTACCAAGGAGAGCTGGCAAATTCTTATTTATGAAGGAAGAAATGCAGTGATGACAATAGTGTTCTGGTACAGAATTACAGAATCATTGAAGTTGGAAAAAAACACTGATGATCTAATCCAACAGTCGACCCATCTTCACCATGCCTACTAACCCACGTCCCTCGGTATCACACTTACACAGCTCTTGAACATCTCCAGGGATGGCGACTACGAAGCAATGAATATCAGGAAACAAATCATTAAAACCCAACAAATGGTTTCATTTCATATTCAAACAAATTCGAATACTTTTTAAATTTTAAAAAGCAGTATTTTAAATTAGTATGAACAGCAATATTTTTCACACTCATGAAAAAGTAGAATTTGCCAGGGGCCACGCCAGCAGAACCGTAGAAACCTATAGCAGGAATTTGATAGGATGAGCCACTCTGCAGTGAGTGCAGACTTCCATATGAGGCAAGTCAGGTCCTCTACATCAGAGATCTAACTAGGGCAGGCCAACCTAGGGCATCACAAATGGCAAAATAACAACAGACACATTGAGGACATGCCTTGAGAATATCGCCAATACAACTTGCACATCAAATAGCAGTATGGATGCAACCCAAAAAGCATTAAGCAAAGCAACAGACAAATTGTCCAAATGTTATATCATGGCAATCGAAAGCTTAAACCGAATAAGACAGGATCAAGATAATTAGCAAATGATACTGAATACCCTGTGTATTTGAAGGTGAGGTGGTAAGATGGGGGTGAAGAAAAGGTGAGTGGTCCCTGCAATCTTCAGTGGGCAGATCCCATGCAGAATTATATTCCTACAATCCAATGCACATTTCCTATCTGTGCATCTTCTGTGTTGGGAGGACTTTTTGGATACATGTTCTGGACAGGGAAATTTAATCTTGAGAATAAATAGATCGTGAGATTCCCAGAAATAAATATAAATATTAAAACGCAGTAACGTGACATCCAAATAAAGCAGCTGGATATTTTAAGCATAACCAAGAATGAAAGCATTCCAGAGTTTTTGCTAAGCATCATTGCCTATGGCACTTGAATCATGGACCCTTTGGACAAGTGCATTGTGTCAGGCAGCAGTTCTGGGATCAAATCCTGGCAGCAAACTAAAACTTGCCACAGTTTACTGATCCTTTTAAATAGTTTTATATGCACACATTTTAATTACCTTGACTTTCAGCATAAGAATATACAGGAAAGATAGCTTGCAGAAACATGGTGACTGAAGCTCTTTAACCTAGCTGGGTCAGCACTGTCAGGCTGGAAAGTAAGATATGGTAGGGGTGGGGGTTCTGCCTCTTTCACAGAACAAAATATGATTATTTGGTTTCATCCTCTTCTGATGATAGTGTCTTTGTAGAGAACTCAGCTCTTACTCCTTGCTTCAGACATTACAACTTTTCAGAAGTCATCTTGAAGGACCCAAAACAATTAGTCAGCAGTAGAAGTAGAGATGGGCAGATGTGGTAGAAGGAGTGCATGTAGAAGCTCCTGTCCATCATAACAGGAGTTGAATGATATCAGGCACTGAGAATGGCATGCTTAAAATGCAGAATTTACGCATGTATCTCAGGAAACTATTTATTTTGTTATGCGGTCTCTGAGCAGTTTGCTTGATGAAACAGCTAAGTCTTGGTAAGTGGAAATGGTATTTGATTGCAACCTAAACCCTTGCTTATAGATTTATTGCTGTTGCTTGTCCACAAGAACAGTTAGATTAGCTGTAATAGGATCAAAACCTCAGGTACAGTCTGTATATAAGTGACAAAAATCTACTTAGATAAATGAATTTAGACAACAGTGCTGAGGAAAGAATCATTTCTTCTTAAATGTTTCCAGGATTAATTTGCTCTTGTAGATTTCTACCAACGGATCTCTTTGCAGTAATGATCTGATGCATCAAAGAAGGAAGACAATTAGCTTTAAGACCTTTTAGCTTTTAGATTGTCCATTCACATTTAGCAAATACAACAGCACCAAGATTTAAATAGGGAGTGCTTATCAGTGGTACAACAAACTCTTGAGAGCCTTTCTACTCATAGAAGCTCGCAGGCCACTTTCCACATAAACAGCTAAGTAACTCCATGCTAGGAATACTGTTGGAAGCCTTCTCTAACATATAACCAGAAAAAAAACAGGCCTGCTCGGAGAGATGATGCTTGAAAGCCTGTCAGAACCCATTTGAACACCTTGTTATCCCAGTACAAAGTAAGAGACTGAAAACAGCAGGCAAGCTAATACTTCTAAGATTTCCCATAGCATCTTAGCTATGCCAAGATAGGCATCTGAAGAGACATATGTATGCCCTGAAGATGTGGTTTAAGAGATCTGTGGATGGGTAATTGATTAAAATAGTCCTTTCATGGAAGGTAAAATAGGTCACAGGCACTTCTTCTGCATTGAACAGCAATTATCTATTAATTAGCTTTCTTGGCAGGATCAAAATACATGTTGACGCAGTGTTTGATATCTAAAGAAAAGTAGCAGTAGAGGAAAATATGAATGAGGTTCAAAAGAAGGACATGACAGAGAGGTTGCCAAGTCTGTTGTTTTATGCAAGAGTTACAAGCCACAGTAGATGCTCGAGGTCTGTGTATGGTAGCTTGAAATCAATGGATCAGCATAAATAAAGATATTTAATTCTGTCAGTGAAGCTGAACATACAGGTTAACAGAGTTTGTTTAAGTAATAACTTTGTAGAAGATACGAATTGCATCTGTCCCCATACTGAGCCAACCAGAAGCTGATTAACTATCTAAGCACTGGCTAACATGTCTTGCCTTTAAAACCCCTCCACCTAGTGAAGTGGCAATGATAATTCCCTGTGCTACCTGAAAAAGCCCACAGCACCTCTGGCCAGGATCTTAAATATCCCTTGTTCTGGTGTTCAAAGGCATGTTACAGGACTGTTTATAGACAGTGTAAGTGGAGCTTAGAGACAGAGCAGTCACGGGTCCTGATATTCTCAGCTTTGGTGTGGGCGGATTCACACCTCATTGACTTCTGCTTTGAGTATGAGGTTTTAAAAGCCTGTCAACAGCAAAGTCGTTTTCTAAAATCTTTCTGCCACTGTTAGCACTAGCTCAGATCCATACAATGATCAGCCACCAGCGCTGGATTTAACGCCATGGGAATTACACCTTGTAGCTTAGATTGCGACCTGATGACATGGTGCTAGGGATGCCTATGGCAACCAGCAATCTGTCTGCCTTAAGGCTGGTTGTAAGCATATGACTTTACCTGTCCCAGGATATTATGGGCTCTTACATCTTACAGAATGATTAGCCATGGGATTCTTTAAAAATTGAAGTTTTTTTTTTAAGACTCCTACTGTGAATGAAAGCTACCCAAGAGAGAAGGAAGTTATATATGATCCCATAGAAGAGAACTGCAAAAACACACACACACACACAAAACCCACAAGTATTTTCTTAATAAGAACACACTCTTCATTGTCAAATTCAAATGCAGTAGGATTTGACCAGTAGATGGCAACAGGAGACCAGTTTGTAGCAAGGCCAGAATTTGCAGGCTGCAAAAAGTCCTTTGCTGCACTGTGCTCTGTGCGCCTTCCTCAGCTGTGCTCCTTACCATGCCCTCTGACAGCAGAAGGAATCAGTGTTGCACCTAACTGCAGTGCAAACTCGAGGCTGCTTGATTTCTCATGTAGTTGCGCTTACAGGGCCTTAAAATGTATCCTCTGCATTTTAAACGACCTAAAAATGTGGTTCTCCTTGAAGAGGCACAATTTCCCTATTGTATCCTTTTGCAAAAATAACAAGTAGTGCATAAGGAGATTAGATTTAGAACACAAACACGAATCACAAAAAATACTGAGCATCTGACTGGCATTTTGTCTAAAAAAGTAGCTCTTCCCCACCACATATAGAAACCAGATTCATGAAGTTTTAGCCACGTTCTTCTCATTGCTTCCGAGCCATCTTAAACAGCTGCTCTTAGGAAGTTCTTGTTATTGCCTGAGGAACATGATTACCTTGCTGGAAACAGTAGGCTCAGCTCTTGGCCTCTGGAGGAAGGAGCTTTGCTGCAGACTCCAGATGTGGCAGCTGCTGATATCCATAGGAGGATCGGGGAGATTCCAGCACCGCACTCTGCCTCACTCTGCCCAGGCCCTGGGGAGAACATGGGAGTCATATTTAGCAATCATCACCTCTACACCACTGTTTTTCAATCAAAATTATGAGAGCACCATTGTTATTAATAAATAGCAGTGTTGTTTTGTCACTTATAAGGTAAAATATGAACGGACCTTGAAGACATATAACACAAGAAAAATTTACAGCTGAAGGCTCCAGACTTTCTCCAAAACTTAAGCACCATTTTTCCCTTAAGCTGAAGTACAGGCCAGATTTGGGCAGTGAAAACATTCAGGTGTAACATGAAGTTTGGGGAGCACTGGAAAGACTGTGAATGTCAAGTGGTCTTCACTGTAAATGGAAAAAAGACTGATTTGTAAACGGAAAAAAGACTGATTTGTAATGAAACCCCTGCAGAGATCATACAAGGGCTGAGTGGGGAAGGAATACACAAAGGCAGCAGCCAAAGGTGAGCTTCAGCAGGACCCAAACAAGCAATTTGGCAACATGGCTAGAGACAACAGATCTTTCCCTGAAACTACTGAGAGTTGGCCATCCTGGGTTAGGCATTACATTCGCTGTGGTTCAGGAGGAGAGCTGGCTGTGCGAAATATCAAGATCCTCCCTGGCATCCTAGAGGTTATGTTTTGTCCCCAGCCCTATCTCTGTTCTCAGGAAAAGGGAGACAATTGTTGTCATCACTGCAGTGATTGTTAAATGCAAGAGCTATAACAGCGCTCCGTCCTCTTCACTTTACTGATGGCTGTGCTGCAGGTGAATGGCATGGTGTCACTTTTCTATGTTCTATATAGGAGATTGCAGTGCTATTTTAAATCTTTTCTGCGCTCATACTTCTTTTCAAGGACAACCCTTCAAGAAATAAAATACACTGTTTTAGAGAGCAAACTGCCTTCTTGGAGCTCTTCAGGTCTTTTATCACTCACGGTAGCACATTAGTGAATGTATCATGAATTATCTTTATGTTAACACTATTTACAAATAATGGAAATAAAAACAAATTCAATCATGTTGTTCACATTTTAATACAAAGGCAGAAACACCACTTTGGAAGGAACTTACTTTTACCACTGGTGGATGCAAAAAGAATTATTCAAACATATAAATTCCTGATACACCACAGCACACACAGTTACTGCTTTTAATTAGTTATGTCGAAGGCTTTTCACTTGGTCTTTCACTCTTCTAATAAGGTGCCTTTGAACTAGTTACAGATTTGAAAGATTTAGTAAAAAAGATATCTTTATACCATTTCTGGTAAGAGCTTGTCCTAACAGATGCCTTCTTCCTCCTGAGGTTTGGACCACAGTTTGATTTTTTTTTTTCCTCCTTCAACCTCTGAAGCATTTCATGACGTGATGGGCAAGAACCCAGAAGTAATTAGACTGACTGAGCATTGGAAGTGTAGACAGAAGAAGAAACTGTTGAAAATCACTGCTATTCTCAAAGTTGACACTGATGAATCCCTTAGGTCTCAAAAATTGCAGCCCATTTTTTGGGAGGTCCAAGTGCATACAGACCTTGGGTCCTGCTGGAGCTTGCAGACTGGTTGCTGAGACATCCATGCAAGCTGTGCTGTTTGCCACAACTCCCCCAGTGCAAACCAGTTTTTCCCTACTGCTTCGTCAGTGTCTTGCATACAGAAGTGAGAAGGAAAGGAGTACAGGTTACCACGACGGCAGGGTACAAAATATCAGGAGTCACTCATGGGAACTACAATCTATTCTTCAAAAGTTTCAATCATGAATACAAAATGCTGAATACTTCCAAATCTGGCAGTGACAACCTGGCATGGCACCATGGGCCATGTCTTACATAAACAGCACAGTGCTCTTTACCCTAATTTTACAGTTGATTATCAAAACTACCTTAATTCCTAGCAGCCAGGACTCTACAGAATTCTTGGAGTTGGAAGGGACCCTTTAAATATCATCTAGTCCAACTTCCCTGCAATGAACAGGGACACTGCACCTAGATCAGGTTACCCGAGGCCCAATCCAGCCTCACCTTGAAAGTCTCCAGGAATGGGACATCAACCACAACACTAGGTAACCTGTTCCTGTGCCTCACCACCCTCACTGTAAAAGATTTTTTCCTTATATCTAAGTTAAGGACCGCTGTGCAAGGAGACCAGCCACAGCCATGTCCAAGATTCAGGTCAGTTGTGGAGCATAACATGCCAGAGGCTGTGAATCCTTTCAGTTACCTAGTTCCGTGAGGTTTACTTTAAAGAAATCTATTTACAGTCGTCTTTGTTTAGAGTAAAGCTGGATGGAAGAGGTTCAGATGGCCAGCTGCTGTGAGCTCTAGCTGGTGCAGACTAGTAGTTTGCCAGGAAACTTTACAAGACATAACATATATCCCAAGAGTCATTCTAAGTCATGCTGGACTTCAAAGAAGCTCATATGCAAAAGCCAAAGGAAAACTAAAACGTACATGCTGATGGGCAGCAGCAAGGGACAGGAGAGGTGAACACTAATATTGAAATATCTATAAACTTCAATTGTTTCTCAGCAACGTTGTATTTCCAGTGGGACAAGGAAAGACAGAATCATACTACTACTTTGTCCAAATCAAACCTACACAGAGTAATTAAACTTGCATTTGTCAAGCCAGATCACCAACACAAAATATCAGTGTCTCTTATTTCTCCACAAATATCAGATAAGGGCTTCTTGGCTGTAACACTAACATTTTTGTGACTATTACCTCACCGGAGACTCACCTACAGTAAAAGAACAAAAATGCTATTTGAAAGCACGAAATCCTCTACTGTAGCCAGCGCTTTACTGCTGTATACTGGGGCATACTGGGCAGCTTATTTTCATTCAGAAAACCAAATGAGCTTTACAAGCCCAAGAGCCCTCTCCAGCATCAAAACTGCAGCTGCTGTAACACTAGTGCTGCTGTAATTAGAGAGGTCAGGAATCAGGTAACACCACTAACAGAGCTTTTTTCTTAGTGCTAGGTAGAGTAAAGTATATGACACTGAGAAGCTAAAGCTGCTGAAGTTGCTGCTTTGGTTCTTGTTTCTATTATTTGTGCTGTGCTCTTGCACCCTGTTCCAGGAGCAAGCCATGGTTTTGCCTGGAATTCATGAATATTCAGGTTTGGGTAGATTTAAGCACCAAACTGAAATGAGACTCAGTGCAGTCAGTATAATTAGTTGGAATAAACTGGTCTACTGAGGAACAATATTTTGAAAGATTTTAAATGTTTGGGGAAAGAGCTGGCAAAGTCTGCAATCTGTATCACTGTTCCCATCATGAGGTAACCTAACACCAAACACTGGCTTCTAAAACAAAATCTGGCATATTCAGAGCGTACCACATTATGTCTCCCAATCTGCTTCCTTAGCCTTTCTATTCCTCAAATGTTGAGGCTGCATTGCATTTTCCCTGCTATTCTGAGAAAACAGAATGCTTTGCCAATATGCTCCTTACTTTTGGTTATTTTTAAAACTCTGCAAAAGCTCACACTTTCTTCTGTAGCCAGTGCCTATTGTTTATGGAAGCAGTTCCAATTTACTTTCTGTAAGGGAAATAAAAAAAATCTCCTGCCTCGAAAGCGCTGCAAGTATTTGCATTGTTCTCCAGCATTGTTTTGCTTACAAAAAAAGGAATTCTTTGGAACCATGGAGGCATTGAGTCTCCCTTGCTTGCTCACGCTTTTTCACTCCCAGCTCTCAAACAGCAGCTTTCAAGCAGTGACCTTTCTCTGTGGAGGCCAGCTGGTTATTTTGGGTTGTATTTCCCTGCTGATTGTTCTTGCTTCCTCCTGCACAGCCAAGCCCTCGGGTTGCTGCGGGTACCAGGGAAGGGGCTGACTGTTGGCAGCTTTTTGGACCCCCGAACAGATGGCCAAGAAAGTGTCTGTTGCTCAAAGTAGCCACAGATTACTTGAAGCTGGGAAATACAGCCATTAGCCATCTTACGCAAACAGTATAAATCATTCAGATGTTAAGTAATGAAAGAGCAGCTTGGTAGAGGTGCTTCCAGTTCAGAAAACTTCATCCCAACTTGTCACAGTAAGACCCTGATTAAAACCTGATGTCAGCTTGCGAGTCAAAACAGCTCTTCCCTGTAGGTTTACCTGACAGGGATGCATATTCAGTACTGGATGCGTGCTCTCTTTCAGCAAGGTTTTTCCTCAACATTACACAAAGCTTTCGGAAGGATACTCAGAATCTGTTCCTTTCCTCCCAGTATATTTGCAGGAGCTGAATGAGATTGTATAGCTATAAAATAACAAAGCTAAAGCAGTGCGAGGCTGGGTATTAAAAAACTTCAATGCCATTTTCAAATAAATATCTTCACTGCTGTAAATCTTTGGGAGCAAAGTCCAGTCACTGTAGAACAGGAGCAAATTAGCCTTTTCTGAGAAAGCAAAGTTAAGCCGTAAAACAACAATCTACTCCACTGTAGGAGCAAATTGCCTTAAATTCTCTATGCTGTCACTGAGCTTGGCAATGAACTCTGACAGAAAAAAATGGTGCAACTCAAATGCACTCAGGAGCCAAACATTCTCAACTCGAATCTCTGAGGGCTGCAGCAGACCTAGGAGGTTGGAGCTCCCAGGGACCAAGTATTTCAACAGCAACATGTGCTGCTGTACTCATAATAAAGTGGTCTCTGAAATGCCAGCTCACTGGGAATCTGAAAGCTATTCAGTTCGGTCTGACTAGGAACGTGGCCCAACTCTGGAAAAGATGAGAAGATGAGGTTTCATGTTTTTGGTTTTTTTGTTGTTATTGTTTTTGTTTTTTTGTGAACTTGAAACCCCGCTCTTCAGCCAAAGCCTGTCAAGACCCTGCTCTTGACTTGCATGTACAAGGCACAGAGATAATTAGCAGAGTCTTTTAAAGAGTTGCTTCTTTTTTAAGCCATTTATATTTCACAGGGTTCAAACTGGGACAACTTGCATTCTTCTGTCCAAAATATTTGTGAAAATTGTCAGTTCTTTTTCTTTTCTGCTAATCATTTCCATCTGCTACTGGCTGAAATAAAAACACTAATGTGCAAATTAAAAAAAAAAAAAAGAAGCTTACCTATTTTTATATCTATTTTGTAATACTGCAAGCTTCACAAAACGGGCAGAGTGAATAAAGAAAAAAGAAAGCTGACTTAATGCTTTTTAAAAATTGCTATATATTTACTTAATGGTGAGCTATGGCAGGATGCTGAGAACCCATGATAAAGTCTGAATGATGTCTACCAACAGCACAGGTAAAGCTTTCAGCAATTATCAAATGACAAAAAGAGAAACCGAAGCCTTCACTCAGAATCCTCCATCGTTGGCAAACAACTATTGCATTCAGAAACAGAGTGTGAGACGGAAGGAAGGTGACAAAAAGGAGAAAAAACAACATCTGAAATTTCAAAATGTTTTCTAAGAATTGAAACAAGATGAAAATTTAAATTTAAGGCAAATATTTTGTACCACTAAGTACTTTCTATACAGAAGTCTATGTTTTGCAAGATAAATGTTCAAGACACAAATGTTGGCCATCTGTAACTGCAGCAGTGAGCTAGGCAGCAAGATGGAAAAGGTGTTGTGGCAAATTGCCTTTTCTCCATCTCTTGAGTGCCGCATTTGAATGAGCTGGCCCATGTCCCAGAAACAGCAAAACCATATTTGTGTTTTGAAAAATGCAAGGTACCCATCACAGCCATACCCTATCCATGCCCTCACTAGCTGCTCCAAAACTACTTCACTAATATCCTTGTCACTGTGTTCAGAGTGAAAAATTTCCTTGTCATTTTCATGCCGCTGACAGAAAAATATCTTTTTTCTCTTGGCAAACAATTTGGGTTACAAATATAGGAGTTTGCTAATTGGAAATAAAGAGAAGAATAAATAATTATAAATGGCTCTCATGTAATTATATGCAAGCTATCTGTGTGTTTGTGTATTCCTGAGCATATATATATATATATATATATATATATATACCTATATATATATACTATAGTGTGTTATATATATATATATATATACACACTATAGTATATATATAGGTGCATTATACCTATATATATACTATAGTGTTATATATATATAACACACTATAGTATATATATAGGTGCACTGATGCTGAGCCACTGAGTTGCATAAATATTACATAGATAGATATTTGTGTTAATACTTCCTTGTGCTCAGAAATATATAGTACATAAATATAAATAAATACTAGTGTTCTTTATATGAAAAATACAATCTTATTTTAAAGCTAAATATTTTAAGAAATCTCTGAAAACATAAAAGCACCTGCTTCACTTCAGTCTGACACAAAACATCTTCCCTGAACCCTATTTATCTAGAAGTGTGTATACTCAAAATCTATGTAACACTGAAGCGCTTTTGGATAAGCATTGCACAAAGTTTATGCTAAACTATCTGAAAAATGCTAACTTCCTCCTTCAGTCCCTCCTATCTAATTTGTAACACATCTTTCCACCCTTCCATCGAACTCTCTCTGATTCTATTCATCTCATTAATGAGAGGCAGATTGATTTCTGTCATTTCAGCTTGGGTTGCCTTATTGATGCAATGGTTGTCCAGAGGGAGGATGATCACCATTTGGGGTCAGTGGCAAAGGAGCTTAGTCAGAGAACACTGATGTACACTGGTGTACATTATGCGCAGCCACAGTCTGAGTAGCAAGGGAGTGAGGTTATACTGATTTATATGAGTTGAGTTTATTTCATCTTAGTTATGTTGACTTTTGAGACCTAATGCTAAACTGTAAACCATTCAGAGTAGCATAGAAAGTTTGGTCTTTAAATTGTTGTAAAATGAATGACTATCTTTTCAAATTTAGAGATTATTTCCAAAGTGATTACATACCTATACACATGGCAGAAAATTAGCATCTTCCTTGCATACCAGTCCAGTGTCACTCTTATGTGCCCAGTCATCTTTGCAGGTCTTCTCTGAGACGTGAGCTGTGAAAAAAGCAGCTGTTGAATTACAGGAAAAGTTAAGAAAGTGATTTGGAGATTTTTGCACATCTTTCCAGCAGTTTAAAGACTGTTTAAACAGTTCTAGTTTTTTGTTTTGCTTTTTTGTTTTGTTTTTTTGTTTTTTAATAACAGACTTTGGCGTCTCTTTCTCTTTTCCCAGGAGTACACCTTAAAGGAAGAACACAACCAGTCTCCCTGCCTCCCATTTTCCACATTAGTTTTGCCTTACTTGAAAGGATGATGTATTTGACAAATTGTAGCTTGACTATCACTCTGCATTTCCCCTTTTTTTCCCACTCTGCACTTACAATCTATGATGGGCAAATCTCAAAAGATTAGAACTTCAGAAAAGCAACTGTAGGTTTGAAGTTTACTTCTCAATTTTTAGCAATTAGGATCAGTGCAACAAGTCTATTAATACTTTGCCTTGAATTCATGGGATTTGAATGACCAAAGGCTTTGGCATACTTCTGCAACAAGAACAGCTAACGACTGCATTTCCCAGGCTCAACAACATAGTTACAGTGTCTAAAAATTAAAGGCATCACTGAAGGCATCAGTGGATTGTTCTAATTGTGGAGAAAGATGCAAATGCTCTAACCACATGTAATGCCCTGAATGCTCTAGCTTCTGGATAATCTGGCCAGCCACAGGGAATGGGGTAGAGGTGGAGACTGTGAATGCTGTACAGGTGGTGTCTGCATCAAACTTGTAATGCATAAACTCCTGAAGGAACCAGTAACAGGAAGGCACAGAAATTGTACTCTTGACTGCAGAGTGCACTCTTAGGCTGTCCTCTATTCTGTGTGCGGAAATGTTTAACGTGATTCTTTGCTGACATTTGGCACTAGTTTAAAATCAACTTTCCATAAAGACAGATCTACTCCAGAGCTGCCTTAACTGTATTCTCTCACTGAGAAAGCAGACAGAAGATGGAAATCAAAGTTGAACCCTGTTGCATGCTTTATAAATCAAAACACCTGGTCTACCTGGGATATAGCATCTCTCCTAAATTATCTATTGTATGTTTATATGTAACTGTGACAAGTACACTCTTCTCTATTTCCAAATATTAGAGCATCATAGAATATAGTTATGATGATGAACAAAACAAACATATCTACTTTTCACATGCTTTCTATTGTTCAACAGAATTATCATGAGGAGCTCATGAAGTTCCCTGTGGGATGTAAACATGAGACAAACAGTTAACAAGAGTTTCAGCTTTATGGGGCACACCAGCAGACATCCAGGACATAAGTATTTGGGTACAGGGGCTGTGCAGACCTTACCAATGTTTGGCATGCTTGTCTGAAGTATCAACCTTCATACTAGTCCTAATGCCTATTTTGTACAAACAAACCAAAATCTCTAGTGAAGACAAAATGGCTGCTAGGCCCTTTGGAGGATCTAGTCTGGAGAAGGAGTACAATAAAAAAATAGTTTCTTCACACAGGTGGTACACTGCATAGAGAATGAATGTCTGTAGAGCACTCAGACCCTGGTATGAAAAGTTGCTGTAGAAGTTCAAAGTATTATTGTTATGGCATACTTACTCAGCGAGGCAAGGAAATATCAAAGGATTTCTTCTCCCAGCTGGCTCAGTCTTATCTTGAGGAACTGTTGGTGGGTGGTGATTGCTCTCAGAGACCGGTGATGACAGAGGAGCAAAGGCACTAACCTCGCCTGCAGAGCTGCTCTGGGCACCCCTCGGGATCAGCCATGGCCTCAGTTCCTCCTCAGTGCTTTTCAGCCTGCACACACCCTGTTCCCAGCAAAAAACCTGAAATGAAAACAGAAAGAGCTCTGACACCTGGCTAATGGAGGCACTCAGGCAAGGGCTTTCACTTGTGACTGGTAACTTGGGAAATAATTGATGCAAATTGCTTCAGACACTCAAGGTTTCTGGTCCTCCTTCCCACAGGCTATTTTTAGGTCTAATTAGATAGATAAAATAACACAGGAATTACTTACTGCATGCTCTAACATTTGTATTTTTTTAAGGCGTCTATCTATATACATGGTAAATGACTGAACTACAAAAAGCAGATAGAGGGATTTTTTTTACTTCTTTAATGAGAGATGTTCAATCACTGAAAAGACTTGCTCATTGTGAAGCTGCGTACAGCTGTTTGCTGGGAATTTCCTAGCACTACCTTAAACTCAAAGCAAATAACAGAATATGAAATAGCACGTATTCTTGGCATTAGAGTGCCCAAGAGCTCCTAGGGCTGCTGCAATGTGAAGGCTAACAACCCACCCATCAGAAGCAGATAAAATACAATTAACTAATTCATTATGTAAATATTTTAGGTGGGGAGACATGAATTGACTTATCTCTATTATTGTTATCATTATTAGCTGCTGTTTGCTAAGATTGAGTTTTTCAAAGCTGCCGTTGATGTTAAGAAGTCCAAAATCCCCTTGCTAAATCCGCCCTAAGTTTGATGTTGACTGTTTTTGCAAGCTACTGGAGAAGAAAAGCAGGGAGAGCAGAGTAACTAGGTAGATAGCATTATTCACAACAGTTATCACTAAAATTTATGGATAAACCCTTCCCATGCTATCCAAATATCATCGAGAACTACAAAATCTGCCCAGTACCAATGTAATACTTTCAAGGATAAGAAGTTATTATGACTGCAGTGGTAAATGCAAAAAATGACTGCTGGCATCCATGGTTATTATGCTGTCTCAAAGTCCCCCAAAATGCCAAAGCTCCCTATTCCTCTAGAACAGCCAGGCCACAGACTGCATCCCCTGCACCAGGCTTGCTGACTCCGAGAGCAGTAAGCAGAAGGACGAGATGTTGGCTGTGTAACAACCAGAGCTTTGCCTCTGACTTCAGCAGGACAGCATTTTGTCTCTGCAGTAGGAGCTGATGAAAAGGTCTGCCTCATAATCAAATTCCTGTGGCTTAACGTGTAAGGGCATGTTGGCTGTATGGTGGTGACTGCTTATGTGCATGTTCTCCACCTACAGGATGTGCCAGCTGTGCCACTTGCTTTACTTTACAAGAAAAGAAGGGTAAAGAGGTCATTATTTTGCATTTACCACGGTCAGGGCTTTATGGGAGCTGCTAGAATACTGCCTAATATACAGAAGATTGACTGAATGAGCCCTCCTTATCCTGAGCCTGATGCTTGACAGTGGGCAGTATTGAAAAGGCGTGTGTTGATGAGATGGTCCTGGGTGACAATGGAGCTCTGGGATGTAGGCAGGTTTGGAGAGCCCTGACAGGGCTGAGCAGGATCATTACAGCCTGTTAGCACCTTCAGAGGTATCCTAACCCCAGGAAAACAAGTGCTTCATATACTGATATGAAGACATATTATTTCAAGTGGAATTGAGCTGTGAACTCCCCATATTTTGATACAGGATCAGCATTTTAGCATGAATCGTAAAAACATAGTAATTAGTCTAACTACAGCATACTGTCACATAAGCCAAGCTTTAAAATGTGTCTTAGACAAAACATCACAAGTCAACAGGAAAGAAAATCTCTGCATTAATAGCTTTTTTTGTATTACCACATACTGCTACTCCTCTGGTTTCTTTTTGATGGCAAAACATATATAAACTTTGGGTCTATGTTCCTTCACTTCATGCTTCCCTGTACCTCTTAAACCTCTCTCAGCACTACGGGACCAGTAAGTTTTCCCAGTAATGAACTTCAACTTTGGAGTACCAAAAACTCAAAATATAACCTTGTGCTCAACGTTAACTGCATGGAAATGCAATTGTTTCAGACAATTCATGCTGTGAACTTACTTCAGCATATTGCATCATAAGAACTACTTATATGAACACAAGTAAGAAAGTCCTGATCTGCTGAAAAAGTCCTTTAATGCCTAGTCTTCACAAAGAGAGACTTCATAAGGTACTTGCACTATGTCATCTTCAAGAAGAGGTCAGAGCTACTGTGAGTAAAGCCTTAGTCAACATCTAAGCACTGTATTGGTCTTTATATCAATGTATTTAATTCTACTTTGCAGTAAAGCCTACCATATTATCTTTCTTCAATGCCTGCTAATGGTGCAAAGGCTGAAAGACACAAATAACTTTTTTGAAAGAAAAGAATAATTTATAACACATGCAGAATACACTATTGGCTGGTCTTTAGAAAGGACTTTACCAAGGCCATGAACCGTCAGGGAAATTCTGGACTTCCAAAGCAGCAAAAGAGATGATCTCAGGTGCACAGCATTGGGGCAGGTCTGTCTTCTACCCTTCTCTTCTGTAACAGGGATCATGGATTCAACCAAAGTCCCAGATATCAGCAGCTTGGTAGCAATACATCATTGCAATGTCACTGCCTGAACACACAGCACCAAATCCCAACGTTATACCTCTGACAAGGGAAACTGATCTTAAGGTCTGCTTGACTGAACTACCTTGGCTTTTGGTGCCTATGTTCAGCACTAAGAGCTGAACTTCATAGAAGGAAGTCCATTTCTCTCTGTAGGGTTTCAAGAAAAGCTTGTAAGGAGGGACGACAGAGAGGAGAAGAATAAACAGCTATATACATCTGAAATGTTCAAAAACAGAGGAAAGTGTGTTGGTACTGCAGTAGCAATGTGCTGATGATTTATTTATGCATTCAAGCTTTTTTGATGTTTCAAATAGAAATTACTCCAAAAGAACAAACACTTTCAGTCTCATTCTGTAATGCCCATAAACAAAGCAGAGATGAAAGGTACCTGACTGAATTTGGGTAAAAATAGATGGGATTTTGAAAACTAGTAAGAAAGGCCTGGGAAAAGCGATCTACACATGGTCTTAATTATGCCAATGGATAACCTCCACATTACCCTTTAAAAGGTCATCTGATAAACATCAACATTGGGCTTTTCTCACAAACCCAACACCTACAATTGCTTCAGGCTACTGTAATATGGCATGAGAAGTTAAATTAGAAGCATATATTTGGTAATAACACCTCTGAGAGGGAGTCTTCAAAAGCCTGTGCCCCCATTAAAGGATTAGAAGACCAGCATACATATCAGCAACTATACTCAATCCAAAAAGAAACAGATCAGGAGACAGAAATCAGCATTTTGTTCTGATTAGCTGCTTTGATTGATGTATATTTATTTCTTCACTACTTCTTCTTCTTTTTCTCTCTTTTTTTTTTTTCTCCAACTGCAGCAAACATACCACTGGGGAATGCTATAAAATATCAGAATAAAGTGCCACTTTCAAGCCTTCTCCTATCTCTCATGGGTCCAGAGATGATCTTTCCAGAACACGTGTTGGTAAGTCACACAAAATAAAGCAATCTCCAAGGAACTGATAGTCTGGGGTTCAATTGTTTTCAGGAGCACCCAGAATAAAAGTTGGAGACTTAGATATTAAGTCATTCAAGAATAAGAATGGAGTCATTAAATATTTCTGGAAATGTGATAATTCTGTATGAAACAATATGAAAGATTAAAACAGAAGCAAGAATAATTAGAGTCAGTGTTTTACATAAGCACTGCTTTTTAATTTCATTATCTTCCCTTCTGGAAACAAATTCATCCAGTTTTCCTGAGAGCTAATATTTTGAGGTTTTCTGCCCCAAAGGCAGCCCAGAAATAGGTTGGATTGTCCAATAAGGATGAAGGCAAAGGGCATATCCTAAGGATTAATGACTGGCTGAGAAATTGAAGGGCTTAAAGTGAAAGAAATTCTCTGTATCAAGGTCACTGATGAGGTTAGGATTATTTTAAACTGGGAAGGAAACCCATAACCAGCTTTTTTTTTTTTTTTTTTGGTACTTTCTCTATTCTTCTGCCTGATTGTAGAGGAACAAATTCAGTGACCCTCTCCTCCCATTTAAATAGCGGGCTAAACCCTGCTGGCACTTGCAGGCTTTAAAAGGGGCTAAATGGAAAAGGGTATTTTGTCTCATTTTGTTAGCCACCTGTAGCTAGTCAGAAAATTGTCTGCAAACAGGTTTCTATGGATTTTTCTCTTTATTTTATTCTCAGCTCATCTTTTCAACTCACATATCAGGGGACTCTGACTCTTGCCCAAGAAGAGAAGCTCAGGCTGTGCTACTTCTGTATTAGATTTCCTTCCCACCATGGAGGATCTGAGGACAGTCACAGACTTGATTCCAGAGTCTATTCAAGGCAAGCAGGGCATGACAAAAGTCTCTTTTACAGACACTGTGGCTCTGAAATCCTAAGTTATCTGGCTCTGAAGTCCTAAGTAATCCTCATGTGTTTTGTCTCCTGGACTCCTAAGGGGGTAGAGCAGTTCAATTAAATATTCATTCCCAGCTCCCACTGAAGCATTTCTGAACCCACTTCTCCCAGTGTCTGCATTTGACAGATCCTGCCCCCACTGACTCCTATCTCAAGAGCATACAAGCAGAAGTGGGACGCTGTAACAAGAATCCAGAAGCCAGAGCTGTCAAACCAAGTCTTCCTAGATACCAAAGGGGCTAAGAAAAGAATGGGTGCTTGTTGTATTTCTGGCAGGGATGGTTGCTGAAAAGCCTAGAGAGAAGGATCCCGAGACACCTCAGCTTCCAAGCTCTGATGGGTATATTTCTAGTTGATCAATCTCTATGTCTTTGAGGCTGAACTAACTTCCCACTTCAGGCTTCTGACAGCTGGACAAAGCAGGGTTTGAGCTGTGCCTTGCCCTAAGTAAGTGTGGAGAGATGTTTTCAATCTGACCTTGCCAAATCAGTCCCTGGTTTGGGGCGTTTGCTGAAATCCAGGAAAGATTTTCCCACTGCATTTCAAGTGGGTAAAACAAATTCTATCCACAGAGGTTTGATTGAGTATTGAAGCAACAAGCATTCTGGGAGATATGAATCTGCCTCATGATCTGCAGAGTCTCTAGCTTTTTAAAGTAGAATATACATCTACAAGTGGATTTGGTGGTGGTGGAGCTAGTTAAAAGCCGATTATAAAGTATAATTTTCACAGACTGAAGGATTATTTTTAACCGCACTGTGGCTGCGTACATTATTAACCTTCTATCTTATAAAGATAAGATTTGGCATGAGCAAATGTGGGCTTTGTTTGGCTTTTTGTTCCTAAGTTCACATATTTTGTTAAAGTACATCAGATAATGAGATGCAAAAACATAAAGACAGACATAAGAAAGAGCAGCAAAATAGAAAAAAAAGCAATGAATGGAATACAAATGCCTAATCACTGATTTAAAAAAAAAAATCTTTCATTTACATATTTTCATTCATTCATTTACTTTTGCTCTTTGAATTTTTTTTAACAATTCAAGTCAGTAGCAAAATTGACATTCAGGATTTTACCCTGGATCTCCATGGTGTACAGCAGTGATTCCCCTCCCTCACTTGTTGCCCCATTCTATTTCTTCTCTTTTAGTCAGACACATTGCTATGCTGTGATTGTAATGTCACTGGGTTTTACAAGATCGCTTCTGAGATGTGGGGCTATTTTACTCTATATATTGCTTTGAGCATTTTTACTATCATCAATGTAACCCTGAGAAAACTGTGAGTCGAGTTTGTCATGTTAATCTTAAATACACTAGCTGCTACTTCTTAGAGACAATCCAAAGCATTTTACCATATTGCAGGGAGTTCCTGCTCTGCTTTGAAATGCCAGTTCCTTCCAATGACAATGAGATGCTCAGTTCCTCCCATGAGGACAGATGCAGTGTGGAGAGCTGACCCCATCATGCTCACATCCTCCTTTCCACGTGGGCTGATGTTGCCCCAGGGAAGACACCCAGGTAACACTGGCTGATGATGTGATTGCTGCTATTTTGGTCGGGGCACTAGGGAGTGAAAGAGGAACCTAATGAGCTGAATAGCACAAGCTGGGAACCTAAGGGCAGAGTTATCCTGTCAGCTGTTCACAGGCCTGAACCTGTGGCCTTTTTCCATAGTAAAACATGCTTAAAGCCTTGCTCTTGAGCCCTCTTTTCACCTGGTAACAGCTACCATTTGTGACTAGAGCGGGGCAAATATCAGCCATGCAGTGGGCGAGAAGCCACACACCTTGCCTTGAGCCCGTACCACTCTGTATGAGGCTGGCACCATGCTCCTCTATTAGCTGGCATTGTTCAGTCGGGTACAGCTGCAGAGGTGAGCCTGGAATGAATAAGAGAAAAACAGGTTGTCTGATACTGCATTTAGAGAACTTAGTAAAATGTGTATTGACTTCTTGGCAGGCTGCTCAGCTGGAAACGGATAAAGAAAAATCTATTAATTAAATAATTTAAATTTTAAAAGTAAGTAGGATTTTAAAAGATTAATGCCCGCCCTTGTTTTGAATGCGAGTTTGGTCCCCTTGCTAAATTCTCACTATGTATACTCTGAAATGTCTTCTGCTTTACACCTGGAGAAGCTGTGACCCTGATTTCAACAGGCACACTGTGTGTCAAAGGCCGGGAATCCTGGATTATCCCGCAGAAGTCAGTTCCCAAACTCCCTAATGGCATATTAAACAACAACATGTTGAAACAAAACAGTGCGAGACGAAAGCAAAACTAACTCCTGCTGGTTGAGCACACCCTTAAATGCATTTCTACCAGCTTCTGTTAACAACCTTTTCTGACACAAGTCTGCTCTGGATAACTAAGAGAAATACTGAACAGGTAGAAACGTGGGCTCAGAAGATGTGGGTTCTACACCAAGTTCTGCCACTGACCTCCCACACAATGTGGAGCAAGTCACTGCATGTCTTCCTGTTACAGCTTTTATGGCTGTACGATGGAGGCAATGATACTGAGCTCCCTTGTGAGGTGCTTTGGGACCAATTGTGAGAAAAAGGCTGTAAAACCCCAAAAAGCTTTTTCACAAAAAAAAAAAAAAAAAAAAAAAAAAAAAAAAAGAAACAAACTGCAATAATAATACAAGAAATGTGTCACAAAGCCCTTTAGAGCCCTCCATGTTTCAGGTTGTGAAGCACCAGTAAATTGGTAGCTCAACTCATACAATTCTCCCTCTCTTCTAATAAAAATTTTTAAGATGGCGTATTAAAATTGAAAAAGGGATTCTTAATTGTATCTCAATCACTTCTAGCTGGGAAGATGAAGCACAAAAGCCAGATGCTTCATTCTGTCTCTTGACTGACTGATTCCGTAGTCAGAAAGGATAACAGTGTAAGAGAGGCAATAACTCAACAATATCAGTTCTGTCTGAATTAGACAAAACCAATTATCCCTCTGCTCTTTCTGGGCTTGATTATTTGCTCACTCCTTTAAAATATGTAGCAGATTGTTCTCCAATCCACTGTGCTGTATTCATTCCTGCTGGAGCCATTTCTCCTACCTGGTAATTCCAGCCTTGAGAGTGCATTGTAAGATGGAGTTGCTTGGGCATAAGGTGGGAGATAAGGTGAGTGGTGTGAGGGATTCTCCACAGCCTTGAGTTGTTCCAATAAACATGCAGCCCTCCTTGACTGTTGTTTGTCACCAATTTATACATCATTTGGTTATGCGGAGGGTGGTTTTCAGCATGCTTTTACATGTGGTTTGGCAGTGTTGAGTCTGTTTCACAGCTTGCTTTTACATGTGGTTTGGCTGCAGTGAGGCTGATTTACTGTGAGTTTTTTTTTTTACATGGAGTTTGGCTGTGCTAATACTGGGATCTGCATGTTAGGGATTTTACTGTCCCTGTAGTAAGACAATGAAGTCATAAGGCTGAAGAACCGTTTAGATCAAGTGAGAAGTTAAAACAAGCTGGCACTGTTCCCTGCAATACCATGAGAAGATACTCAAACACTGTTACACCCCAACTTCCTCCATTGTGATCAGAAAGCTGCTGCCCTATATCCTGATGCAAAGCCATATGTTTTCTGTTTCAGATATCAATCCTTAACACAGTTTCAGAGGTGGGATCCAAATGGCTTCCAGCCACATCAGCTGTTCTACCTTTGTGTGGGTTCAATGTACAGCAAACAAGATTTTGCAAAGAGAATGTGATTTATTAAGCCTTTTCTTAACTAGCCCAAATAACCAAATAACTTTATCTACAACCAACAATTTTTCCAGGCATTTTCAATTGCATAAACCTTCTCACGTGAGAAGCACTGTTTTTCCCAGCTAGATTGTAACAGTCTTGCAGAAATCATTATCCCAATCCACACAAAACGTGCTGGCAAAATTTAACTACTAACTCTTAAGTATAAACATGCAAGTGTTATTTTGTCATATTTTGTATAAAATTAACTCCTTTTGAAGCCTTTTGTCTCTAAGTTGGCCATGCTGTAGCTGTTGTTTGTAGGTTGTTAATGAGTTAAATTAAGGCCTTTCAAAGGCAGCAAAATTATTCCCTACCTTTTCAATCCTCATGCCTAGAACTGAGCTGTACCTCACCGCTTTTCATTGCCCATATCAAGATTCTCACCAACTGCAATTTTCTCGTTATGTGCTTCAAATGTGGGGTGGAACAAAAACCTTCCAAGTTTCCTATCACATAAATCCCAGTGCTGTTCCAACTTTGTTTTTCTTGCTTTTCTATGCAGTAACTTAGATTTACACATACACAGGCTTCATATCAATTGTCCCATACCCCATCTTTATTTTTCCCTGTCAGCTCTTGAAGAAGGGAAGATAAGACTGGAAAGGAAGTTAATGGGGGAATTACAGTTAAATTCTCTTCCAAGAATCCACCTAAAAAGAAGATATCATTTCCAGATGCTATTGCAGGATTTAGCAACTTAACAGGGCACTAGGTGTCACTTCAGTCTTTTAATCACTTTCCAGAGGCTGAGCTGCAAAATAATCTCACAAAACAACATAAAAAAAAAAAAAAAAAGAAAAAGGAAAAGGCAAAATATAGTAATAATGTACAATAAATGCTACTCAATATGTAAGCTGTCCAGAAGTAAACATGTTTAGCAGATGAATTAGAAAAGGCAGGAAAAAATCTTCCACCTTGGCTCAGTTCTTTAAATGCTAATCTCTGAGTGAGTCACTGTAAGAAACAAATACTTTATCTGTGAAAACGCAAAGGAAGCACCCCACCCATTGATGCTTTGATACAAAAAGAACATTTCATATTAGCTGCTTTTTAAAAGGCTCATCTGTAAAAACTCTCAGTAATTTTTGTTCTTTGGTAACAGAGTTCTGCACTGCATTAAGCACCCATGATCTAGATGAGAGCTTTGGCTTTCAGTGAAGATGTGTGACCGAGGGGAGTCTTCTGGATGATGCTATATTTTACCTTTTGTGTTTGCCTTTGGCACAGCAAGTTTGCTAGTACCTCCCTTTCCTGAGTTCACATTTGGTTTGCAGAATTTCCTCTCCCAGAACCGAAGGAGAGAAATGCTAAAAAAAAAAAAAAAAGTCAGTTCAGAGGAGTGTTTCTCTTTGTTAGCCTTTTTTAACATGCATTAAGTCTGAATTTCATGAAATAAAATTTTTACTTCTCTGAAACCAAAAGAGACAAAACATAAATATTTAAAAGAGAGACATTTTGTTTCAGGTAGCATTTATAGAATGACTCAAAATTTCAGTTCAGTTTTTATGAACAGAGGCAGTTCCGTAGGAACTCATAATTGACAATATTTCTTGAAATTATCAAATGCCCTTATGAGAGGTGATGTACTACATATCACATTTCTTTCCAATTTATTTTCTTCAGTAGAGTTCATGACTTCCTGTGCAATGAGGGAATACTGGAATTTAGCAGCTTTAACCATGTTCCACTTATCTTTGTAGTCATGCTGTAAACAGCCAATATGAAGACATATAGGTCGTCTCATGCACTCGTAAAACAAAGAGTAATGCTGGCAGGAGAACCTGCACAGGCTTCTCTTAAACCAAATTCCTGATTAAGCCTCTGAAGATAAGAGTCAAATTTCCTATGCTAAGAAATGGCACATGGCACCACGGGAAGTAGAAATGTTAAATATTACTTCGGAGGGTCAAGTTACAAACTAATGTTTTGCAAGCCATCCCAAATGCTTGCTGAAATGAACATGGGGTTTCTTTACCAGTGTTCCCAAATTTGTTCTTATCACAGTCCAACGTCTGTAGTGCAAGGATTTGTTTTCAAGTTAAGTGTATTTTGCATGTATTTACTCTGACTTATTACTGTCACTCACCACCCCATGTACAGGAGCCCTCACAGGACACATCCGGAATTTAGGAAGTGATAAGATTCAAACATTTATTTTGAAGCTCTCTCCCAAGACTTAGGAGCTTCCGTATTTTCCCCCTCAAATAAGAAAATCTAGAAGCCTTTTAGGCTGTGGGTAGACAGAAGTTAGATTTATCTATCACAAGCACAGTTTCCATCTATACCTGCAGAAGAATGCTGGTTGTCAAGCTTGTGACAGACTTAAGGGATGCCAAAAACAGAGGCAAAGTGTCTTTGGATTTGCATGTTTTGTGACTTCTGGTGCTTTCCCTGTAGGGTGCTTTCAGAAATAATGATGAAAAATACAGATCCTTGTCTTCAAAGGCAATAGAGGCTCAGCTACACTTATCAAAACACCCTATTTGTAGGCTTGCACAGGGCAGAGGACATTTTTGCCTTCAAAACCAGCAGGGCGTGATCATTTCTAAGTCAATATTTCCCTGTTACTAGTAGTGCCAGACAGCAGGATGCACTACACAGAGTAATGCTATATAAATGCCTCACAGGTACACAGCATGAACAACTTTTTCCTGAGGAAGTTAGTGCTGAGCTTTGCTATTCTGAGGATGGTTCCCATCCATCCAGATGAGCTGTGCTGGAGCAGCAGACTTACTTCATGACACAGTCAGCCAGGGCTGCCAGAATTATTTCTTTACATTATTCCTTCTGCCACCTCTCCCTACCCACTGAAGTATCACCTGCATACTCACATTGGCAGCACCCAGGAAAATGTTAGCACATGTTGGCTGCCAACGTTTCTGCTGAGGACATACATAGGCAGCTATTTAAGAAAGGCACTGGCAGGTTATGCTGTTACCTGTGTCTTCAGTGAGAAGTCACTTCTAGAATTGCTCAGGCAGCACTGAAACAGAGGGATTTTTCCAGATATCTCAATGGAAGGTAAGACAGAGAATGGATAGGAACGACCACAAATATTCAAGGGAGAATAATGTTATTTTCCTTTTACTGGTAATTCTCATTTTCTCCTCTTTCCTTCTTTTTTC